TGGGTCAGATTTAAATATTCCCCTGGTGTTTTTATAACCCAAAAGAACATACTGCAAAAGAATAGCCAACCTGGAAATCAATCTGACTACAACTGGAAGTGAAACTGACCATGAGTTAAGTACCATCGGCTTAAGCACAATAAGAAAGAAAGAAGCAGCTTTAGGTATGGAAAGTAAATTAGATCTAACCAGCTTTGTTTTTTAATACCCCAGCGTGTTCATAATTAGGCAGATAAGAATTTGTTTTACTAATATGATTAAATAGTACTCTGGATTCTATAATGCATTTAATCTGTAGAGCTCAAAGCATTGTAAAATAGGTTGACAAATGGCATTATCTCCATTTTATAGATGGGGAAACTGGGACACAGAGTGGGGAGGTGGCTTGTTTAAGGTCACACAGTGAGTCAGAAAAAGAGGAATAGCATTTAAATCTCCTAAATCATAATCTGGGCTCTTCTCCTCCAGACCACATTACCGCTCTCCGATTATTACTGACTGTGTCCCTTTAACCAAATATATTTATTACTCAGGTAGAGCTTTGCTTCAGTTTTGGGGGAGAAGTTTAGCCAAAGAGCTGGGCAGAAATGTTTTCCCACAAAACGTTCTTAATTGAAGTAGAGCCTTTAAAAAAGAGAAGAAGAAACCTTTTGCAAACAAAAAATGGGCCTTTATCCAAAGTTTCCATTTATTGTGGTATTTGAATTGACAGTTCTAGAAATACTGTTGTCACAACAACTTTTGTGATCATTACTGACATTTCTTTGTTTCGCAAAAACAAGCTTTGGCAAACAAACAAAAGTCAATATTGATTAAAATACTGCAATATAAATAACATTGGCACTTTTGGTTATTCCGTTTTTTTACCAGCTTTGTACAACAGAGGGAGGTGGAGATAAGGACTATCGGAACTAGTTCTCTCACTCCTCATGAAGACCTTCCTAAAGCATCTTTAAAAAATTACTTTGAGAGCTTGATTCCCATTCTCTCCCCCCCTTTCCCTCCCCCACTTCAGAAATCCCACCAAAGACCCTTAATATCCCACAAAGAACATGCTGAAGCAAAATCAACACACCATCAAACTGCTCACAGTCTACTTGTATAATGGTTTTGTATTAGCGTCCATTACCGCAGCACCAGGGTTCCTGATTGGATTGGCAACCCCAGTGACACAGTCCTTGGTTAGAGAGAAACAACAGACTAAAGATTAGTCAGTTTCCAATCGTCATCGTTCCCAACACACACACTCAGTTGCTTGAGAAAAATAAAGTGATGCAACAATTTGAATCAGTTTGTAAAAGGAAAACGATCCATTTCTGCTTGTGTGTGTGAGTGTGTGGGAGCCAGAGATAGAGAGAGGGAGAAGCTGCCAATCCACTGTGCTCTTGGAATTCCAGGGAACTAATTACATTCTCCTCCCTGAAAATCCCCGTTTCACTTTATTTAAAATGTCATGAAAACACCTGTCTTTGTATTAAAAAAGAAAAAGTGAACACAGAAATGTAGCCCAATCAACAGTGTCCTTGAAACCAGGCTTTACTTTCTGTATTTCACTTTAACCTGACTGACTGATGTCCTACCCACATGGAAGTCACTGGGAGTTTTGCCATTTACGATAATATAAACAGGGCCAGAATTTTACCCTCCAGCTCTTTCCTCTGCTGTGAAGGATAAACAGTGAGGAGGACAAAGTTCTCCCAATCACTTTTTCTCTGTCTGCAGACATTAGGCTGCCAGTGCGAATTCAGAACCTTTCTAGATTTTTGTCAATGAAATACGTTAGAAGTTCCTTATGGAAAAGTTCTGTCAAATTTACGAGCGAGGAACCCCCTAGGCTGCTACAGAAATGTAGTTAAGTTCTCAAGAAACTGCTCTCCAGACTTACAGAATTGAATAGAGAATGGTCTTTGGAACCATCTGACTGAATTTCACAGCAGAGAGAGAGTTATTAAATTCCCTAGAACGGTTTAAAAAAGATCTCTAGACAGGCCTTAGTATATTCTATGACATTCTATAGGCTTTTCCCTATCAGGATTAAAGCAGGGCACCTTACTTTTAATCTAGGTATTTGTAACGTTACCATCAGTGTAGTTTCTATGGGCCAGATCCACAAGGTATTTAGGATCCTAGTGTCCACTGATTTGGACCTGGGTTGTTAAATATCTCTAATGTGCCATGCCCAGCTATAGTACTCTATAACAACCAAAGGACCCCGAAAAAACTACAGCTCCCATGATTCACCTCACCTATCGCTCTTAGACTGAGAAAAATCCCTCCATGTGACATCTGAGAACAGGGCCGATGACAGTGTAGAAAACGCTGGCTAGGCAGAAACATGATTTGCTCCGCTGCTCGGGAAGGAACGGGTTTGTGCGGTCAGAGTGGTGTTGCAATACAGGAACCTGGTGAATTGTTCACCTACTTGGTGTTGTAATGGCTGAGGATTTCCTCTGCGCTATTTCGGGAAGTGCTGTAATGGTCCGGAAACCCCCCTTTGTCCCCTGTGCATCTAACACACCAAGGCTAAAGGGACGAGATCCTCAGAGCTATTTAGGTGCCTGATTCCAGTGGGAGTTAGGCGCCTGAATACCTCTAAGGAGCTGGGCCAGCGTCACTTCTTTGTAAGATGAGGCTTTTGAAATAAGTGGCTGTATTGGGGCCTTCTCTTTAATCTCCGCCTAATCACCTGACGGAGACTGCTTGATCGTGATCCAGAAGCACCTCCACGGGGAGAAGATTTCTATGCTAGAGGCCCTTTAATCTAGCAGGCAAAGGTGTAAGATCCATTGGCTGGCTGCTGAAGGAAGGTACAATTACAGTATTAAAGACAAATTCAAGCTGGAAATGTTTAGCATTGAGGAGAACTGGCCATGGGGTCATGGTAGATTGTCCATAACATGGAATTTTAAAATCAAGAGTGGACGGCTCACGCCAGCAGTACCATAAACTATTGGGCCGGATGTATGACTCACTGGGTGAAATGTTCCAGCCTCTCACGCAGGAAGTCAGATCAGATTATTTCTTATGTCTCCTAATCTGTCAAAAGCATTTCCACAGTAGCCAGTATTGTGATATCCAGGAACTATCTACACTGGAAAGATGGGCCTCTCCCATCTAGGAGACCCCAGGGGTTGCCCTTCCTCCTCCAATAAGCACCCAGAACTTTAGCTCCTCCTCCAACCCCTCTTGACTCTTGCAAAATTGACGTGGATGTCTTGAGAGAAAAATCTCTCGCTCAAGATCTCTGTGGTGGAATTACTAATCCGCACTGGCTAGTTTAGTGGTGCCCTGCTGCCAGTGGATGCAGCAAGGGGTCCTCAGTAGCCAACGGGGGCAGGAGAGGGAGATGGTATTTAGTCAGCAAGCTCTTTGGTGGCAGGAATCTTGTCATAATAAATCCGGGGCACTGGCAGTGGTGGGGAAATGAGGGTCCCTGTCAGTCGTAGCAGGGCAATAGCACCTCGCTCCTGTATAGCACTTTCATCAGTAGGCCCCCAACTGCTTTCCAACACCGGTCAGGATCATTAGCCGCATGCTACAGATGAGGAAACTGAGGCACAGAGAAGTGAAGTGACTTGACCAAGGTCAGTCAGCAGGCCAATGGCAGAGTTGAGGAGAGAACCCAGGTCTCCTGAGTCCAGTCCAGCGCGCTGTCCAATTTTCAAAGTGCAACAAAGTTTAACGAATGCTTCAGGAGCCCAAGTAGGCTGAAAAACAGCCCCAACCATCTCTCTGAAGCACCACGCCATCTTTCAGATGAGACGTGTACCTGAGATTGTGACTGCGTGCAATGATTTAAAGATCCCCTGGCGTTCTTTCCAATGTCCTCATGCATAGACAGCACAGCACACCCCAGAGGCAGCTGCATTTCAGCAGCGAAGGACGTAGATGCCATTTGCAACCAGAAGTGCCCAGGACAGTGGAGTAGTAGCCTGGGTTGGAGTGTTGTGACCCATGACAGCCGGCAGGTGGCAGGGACACACCGCTAAGTCTACGTTAACCCTCACCTCCCCAGAGAGAACACACGTTGGCCAATGCTCCCAGGGGCCCAAACACGAACATAACCATGCGCCCCTACACGCACTGTAGTGCTCTGGCTGGGCAATACCATTTCCTTAACAGAAAGGGGTGAAAGGGAAGAATGGCATTTGCCATTAAATAGAGGAACAAAAGGGAAGGGCAAATTTTTCTCCCACCAACTGTGTCACGGTCCCTTTAAGTTTCTCAACTGTGGGGCAATAGGTGGGCCAGAACAGGTGCAGTTTTGTTTCCATTTCCGGCTTGGATAGAGGAAAGGGGCAAACAGATGTTTGAAAATTCACGGCCACTGCAGACACACCCACACACTGGCACCGGAAGTATCATCTCGTGCTTCCTGACATAGGTCGCAAAGGCCCAGAGCCTCAAAACCTTCACTTCATGGCTATCTGAGAACCTTTGAGGCTCTGGGCCAAAGTCAAACACAGAAGGGTTGGGTATAGAACCCAGGAGTCCTAAGTCCCACTCCCACATGCTCATCATTAGACTTTAGGGCCCCCCCAGTGGGAGAAGTAGAACCCAGGAGTCCTGATTCCCTATGCCTGAAAAATGATGCAAGTGGGGCTGAGGAAAAGCAATTAAAACAGTTGATCACTTGTCCCCAAAAGCTCAGGAATGGCCAGAAATGCAGCTTCCCAGACACTTCCCTGCAGAACCACCAAGGGCCAGTGTGAGCTGCACACAACAAGAGCGCAGGCTGATTATACAAAATAGTTCCACTTCCACTGTAATGGGGCGGGTCTTTGGAGCTTTCACAGCAGAAGAATCAAATTATACGACAGGGGATGGAGGAGACAAACGGTGCATGGCTGATCTGTCACTTTAAAAGAAAAAACAATCTAAAATGGACTCAACTGCAGAGGTAGCCAACTGATAAGGGTGGAAGGGGACTCATCTGGCATTAAAAACTCACAAGCACATGGCTCTAGTGTTCTTCCCACACGCCCCATCACAGCAGCATCTTTAGAGGTCTCAATGAAATATTTATTACAAAGAATCAAGCGAATGGGAGAATGTTACCCCCTCCCCGAATGAACGATAATAAATAAATAAAATATTTGCTTTTAAAATAGTTTGTTAAATGACATAAATACAGGACGGTTCATTGCTTTCAAGTGGCTTTGCTCACATTCGGGCTGTGTCCATTTCACAGACACCTCCTCCCCGCCACCCTCTCCTGGGTTCAATAGTGTATCATAGGCCCCATACTGCCAAAGGAGATTCTCCTGTAGTTCAACTGGTAGAGGCCTGTGTGCTGAGTCCTAGGCCTGCTACCACCATGAAGCTATGAGCAGTAGCACAGAGAGCCATGAAGTGCAGTATCGACAACACGTTGATGTGGCTAGAGCGTGCGGATTTCTTAGTGCTTAGTGGAGGTTCGCTTGTTATCCCCCCGGTTTACAGAAAGGGGAAACTGAGGCACAAAAAAGGAGTGTGACCTGACAAAATGGCAGAGCTGGGTGTGGACCTGAGGCACCCCAGGCCCCTGTTCTAACCACTAGATGGCACTGCAGGAATCACAGACAGCTGCCAATCAACCTCAAGAGGCCACTGAAACCAGGATGGTGCTGCACAATCAGGGTTTACAGCGAATGCCAGATGTGGGACTGGGAGGCCCATGGGTCTGGTCTAAGGCAGTGCCTCCCAGGGCTCCCCTGGTGAAGCTTCCAGTGATACCCCAATGGGGGGGGGGGGCGTTGCCCCCAACCCTTACTGACTAAGAGCAAAGCTTAACATTCCCTTCAGGTGGGGGGGGGGGGGGGTTTGGATCCACAGCCACCGTGCAGCCTGGGGAGGCTGGCGCAGGCCCCTCCAGGCGCGCATGTGATGGGGGGGGCGGTGTCTGATGGGCAGAGCGCCAGGGAACTCACATCCAAGAGGCGCTATGCAGAGCCAGGCCCTGCCCGGGTCCCAGCCTGGCACTGGGGGGGTGGGGGGGAGGGAACGGGGGGATGGACAGACACGTGCTCACACACACACGGACACACCATGGCCGGACAAGACAGGACTGAACACACACCAGACAGCCACAGGGACGCAAGACACTGCACAGGGGAGGGGAGGGGCGCTGGGCAGCCATGGGCATTTCATGTCAGCCCAGGTTTTGGCACCAGGTAGGGGGTGGGGGCGGGGGGAAGCAGCTCTGCCCAGAAAGTCAGAGGTCTGGGTTTGATCCATCCAGATCCCTTTCACCCCACCCTCCTCCCAGCTTCCACCATCCCAGGCCCTGGGGGGGAAGAGAGCCCCAGTGGGGACGGCAGGGAAGGGCCTGGGCCTTTGGATAGGGGCTGGGCTCCGGCTGGGATAAAAATACCCCAGAAGCGAAGGGCCCCAACAGGCAGGCCCATGAGCACTGGTTCCCACCCCAGAAGTGGGCGCAAGAGAACAGGGCAGGCCAGAGCTGAGCCTCAAGAAGCTGTTAACACCTCCCCTCCCAAGCCAGCTGGGAGATGCCGCCCCCTCCAACCCTTCCCCCCCCTCGGGGAGTGGGGGGCATTTCAGCCTAGGGGCTGCTTTGCCCTCAGAGAGCAGGGTGTTAACCCGCCCCTCCCAGCCCAGTTCAGGCTTAGGGTGCCCAGGTAACCCCACACAGCACTCACATGCGGCTCTGCAGGCAGGGGTGCACTCACGGCAGGCCCCAGTGCACACCCCACACGCATGCATCACCCCCTCCCCAACCCGCTCCGTCTTGGCAGGCGAAATCGAGCTGGGGGAGCTGCCGGGTGGTCAAGAGGCTGGGTTCTGTTGTAGGCACTGGACCGCAGAGGAGCTTCCTTGGCGCTGGGCAGGGACCCCGGGTGCCGGAGACGGGCTCTCTCCAGCGATTGGGGGGCGCCGGCCGTCCCACTCCCCTGGTGGCTGGGTCATAGAGAGCACCATGGAAATACAATGGGATGGGGGGGTGAGCGGGGAGCAGAACCAGGGCAGGGAGCGAGGAGGAGGTGGCTGATCGGTTACATACCAGGGTTGAGCATGCTTTCCTCCCCGGGGTGGAATGGGGGGAGAAGGTGCCCTGCCTCAGGGCACGGTGCCCCACACCACACGTCTGCACGTGAGTGGGGCAGACAGGGGGGAGCAAGCTGGGTCCCAGTTTGGTCAGCTTTGGGGGCGGGGAAAGCCCGAGAAACACTGGGCTGCCCTTCACCCCCGGGGTCCCCTGAGGCCAGGAGGGGTTTAAGGTGGGGGTGAATCTTCACTATCTTATGGGAGATGAGAAGGGCCCCTCTGGGGGCTGAGTGGGGGGCACCACTGGCAGAGGGCCCCCCTGGCACTGCTGGCAAGGGATCCCCATGGAGGTGGGGGGGGGGAGCATCATACAATCTCAGGCCAACCCTGCTAGGGGGCATGAACCACACCAGCCTCACAGGGGAGCGCTATGCTCAGAGGCTCCTTGAGGAGAAAGATTCCCCCACAGGACACACTGAACCCTGCCCCCCCAGTAGATAACACCCCATCCCAGGGGCCCCTAGCTGACCGAAGCCCCACCCCCCAGGGCCCCTAGCAGCCAGATGCCCCACCCCCTAGCGGATGTAAACGTCCCGCCCCCAGCCCTCCAGGTCATTCTTGTTCCGGCTCATGGCCTCCTCCTCACTGGGGCAGTAGCGATCGCGCCCTTTGCTCCGGCCCCGCAGCTGCCGGTTGTGGTTCTGGTGGTCGGGCTCGGCCTCGTCCCAGGAGCCCTGGCGCTGGTGGAGGCGGCCCAGGCCCCGGGGGTAGGCACTGGGCGTGCCACCGCGGGGCTCGGGCTCCTCGTAGGGGTCTGTCTCCATGTCCATGCAGGAGTCGCCCGGCTCGGTGTAGGCAGAGTCGCGGCTGCCCTGGGTCTCCGAGTCGAAGGTGTCCTGGCGGGACAGGCCGCGGTTGGCCAGGCGGGCGTGCTGCTGGCCTGGCCGCCCCTGGCCGCGGTTGACCAGCTCCCCCGGGTAGTCGTGCAGGCTGGCGCGCTCCCCCTCACGCGTCTGCTCCCCATGCACTAGGTAGGGTCTCTGGTTAGGAGAAGTAGCGACAAACCATGCAAACGGGAGAAGACAAGGCAGAGTTAGTCTGGCCACCAGGGGGTGACACTGGCAGCTCAGTACCGATTAATAGACACCTATATCGTCAGCACAGCGAGAGCAGCCTCTGGGCTGCTGAGCCCAGGCCCCCAATCCCAGTCTGGGCCACAGGGGAGATGAAACTATGGGGTCCCAGCCCAGCCCCTGGGGGAGGTTATACCTGTAACACTGAGTATGTGGGATGGTTTGCTCAGGTGGGGTTCAGGGCTGGGATGTGAGGGCTGAGGGTCAGGACTGAGCAGCAACTGCAGAGCTGTGTGCGGGAGAGGCCCTGGACTGGAATAGCAGCTGGGGGGGCGGGGGAGGGCTGTGGGCGGGATTGAGGGGCACTGGTGGGCAATGTATGGGGAGCCCTGGACTGGCATAGTGGGGGGCTGTGGGGGGGATTGAGGGGCACTGGCAGGGTGGAGAATGGGGAGCCCTGGACTGGAATAGCGGCGGGGGGGGGGGCTGTGAGTGGAATTGAGGGGCACTGGGGGGCAGGAATGAGGGACGCTGGCAGGGCGGTGTATGGGGAGCCCTGGACTGGCATAGAGGTGGGCTGTGGGCTGGATTGAGGGGCGCTGGCAGGGTGGTGAATGAGAGAAGCACGCCCGGCTCCTGCCTGCCCAAACGAGGAGAAGGCCATGAGCCGCAGCTCTTCAGCTATCCAACGAGCATTACAAATGACAGACACCACGACACAAACATGCCCTGACCGCCCCGCCCACCTGACCAGGGCGCGGCACAACTTGGGGCAGGTTCCCCGGCAGCTGGAGAACCTCCACTCACACTTATGGGGTGGTGCCCAGGGGGAACCAGCCACTCACTAAGGCAGCAGTGGGGAGTGGACAGAGGGGCCAGGCAGGCTGGATCCCGAGGAGCGGGCACAGACATGGTGTGTCAGGGTGCCCTGAACAGAGGCCTGTGAGCTCGGTGCTCTCAGAGACCAGGGGCAGCCTGCAGGCAGGAGTTGGGATGCCTTGGGGGTGGGGGACAGCGAAAGGGAGGAGATGGGAGAAGGAGTCCAACTTCCTAGCCAGGGTGAGGAAATTGTGAGACGCTTCCTCGCTAATGGCTCCCACCTACACTAGTGGGGATGGTGGTACGACAAGCCGAGAGGACGCCTAGCACTGCACGACAGCCGTGCCGGGGTTTCTGGCGCAGGTCTGGCTGCACTGGTGCTGCCCTCTGATGTGGATAGGGAGTCACCCCCTTGCCCCAGCACTCCCCCGCCTCACAGCCCCATCCTGCACTGCAGAGCCTCGTGTTCGGAAATCACCCAGCGGCCTTTGCTCCCACTCTGAGAACGGTGCTGTGGGAACCCCAGAATGCACTGCACCGGAGGCAGAGCCCAGCAGGGCCAAGGGTCCCCCCGCTAGAGGGGTGACTGGAAGGAGCCCCGTGCAAACAGGATCCTGAGCTAGAGCCGGCTGATGGGCTCGACCTAGCTCTCCAGAGGGGGCAGCCTTTACGCAGAAGCCTGGGGGGGGGGGGGGGGGCAGATGGCTGTATGGCACTTCCTGGGCAAAGCCCGGCTCCCTGTGACGCAGCTACAAGGCTCAGGCACCGCTGCCGGGGGGGGGCAGATCCTTCCAGGTTCCCCCCATGGACGCGATGCCCCCAGTTCCTGAGCCTTCGAACGATGCTGGGCAGGCAGAGGGAGTCCCTCCATGCGCAGGGCAGCGGGATGGGGGGGCAGCAGCAGAGGCAGGGGTGCGGGGAATCAGCCGGGGTTTCCCATGAAGATTTCTTCCTCCATGTTCATTGAAGGCACCACCTCCTCCTCCTCCTCTTAAAGCTACAGCACGTGCTCCTCCACCCTGGGCTGGGCGCTCAGCCCCTGCTCCAGGCTGCCCTTCCCGCCCCAGAAGCCCAGGTTGCGCTTGAGGGAGGTGAGCACCTGTACCTGGAGGTTGGAGACGGGGGGCGGGGCTGGCGGCCAGGGCGGCGGTCGCCATGGTGCGGTTCAGGAGGGGATTGGGCGGGTTGCTGCTGGGCGGGTGCGTGGCCTTCCAATAGGCTTCCAGGTACTCAGCCAGGTGCTCGCAGGCGTCTTCCAATTGGTTCTCGTCCAGGATGATGTCAAACATTTCCTGCAATGAGAGAGAGGGGTGTGAGGTGGTCCAGCTGGGGGTGTGGGGAGGGGCCTCGGCCAAGCTGGGGGAGTGGGGAGGGGCAGTGGGCGGGGCAGAAGACGGGGCCTCGGCCAAGCTGGGGGAGTGGGGAGGGGCAGGGCAAAGAAGGGTACTTGGTCAAGCTAGCAGTGAGAGGTAATGGGGGTATAGGCCGATCAGGGCACGTTGTGGGGCAGATATTCACTGCGGGGGACTTGGCCCAGGCTGCGAGAATGGGGCACTGGGGCGGGGCAGGTATTCTGCCAAGCTGGGGGTGTGGGGCAGCGGTGTGGCAAGCAGAGGGCGTGGGGGGCGGGACAGGCTGTGGGGTGGGTACTCACTGGCTGAGCTGGGGGCATGGGGCAGTTGTGGGGCAAGGCGAACTGGGGGCGAGGCTGTGGGGCAGGTACTCACTGGAGGGCACTGTGCCAGCTTATCCGACGCCACCATCTGCACATTCAGGTGCTTGGCCTGGGACTTCCCCCGGGACTTGACCAGCCTCTGGAGCACCTGCAGGGGGAGGCGGCGGGGGGGGGGGGGTGTGAGCGCAGGGGAAGGGATCCCCCTGGGGTGTCCCCCACTCTCTGTTCCTCTCCAGTCCCGAGGAGAGGGGCTGGGCACGGTGGGGTCTGACTCAGGGCGAATGAAGTATCATTGCGGCTCGGGCCAGGGTCTGAGCCCAGAGCTCAGGCAGGAAAGCTACAAACTCTGCCCCTTTAAGATGCTGGCTTCCCCAACCCCCATCTCTGTTGATGCCCCTCAGTCCCTACCCGCAGCCCCCCGCCAGCCCAGCCCTGGGCCTCTCTTAAGCAAACACTCTGCATTGAATGTGGAGAAATGTCCCTCAGAGGACAAGGCTGAGACCCTACAACTCGTTGCACTTGTGAGCTATCCCTCCCCCACCACCACTTTGCTCTGACCAGCATGGGAGGACTGGGCAGTGAGTCCCCAGGCAGCAACACAAGAGCTGGGCCATCCCTCTGCAGGGTCCAATGCACTGACCTTGGGGGAGGTGATCTTGATGTAAACGATGATGGGGGCCAGCGAGGTCTTGGCCAGCTGGGCCGGGTGGTTGATGGTGTCGGCATCCAGGGCCACAAGCTGAAGCGTCCGGGCCAGCTCGAAAATCCGCTCGATCTCGCTCTGCACCTCAGCTGTCAGAGCAGAGAGATAGTGAGAGACTGTGGGGAGGGCATGGACTGGGGGGGAGGGGGAAGGGGCAGAAAGACCGTGATAGATGGGGGGCAAGGGGTAGAGAGACAGTAAAAGACTGTGGGGAGGGGATGGAGTGGGAGCGGGGGGCAGAGGCAGAGAAACCTTCAGAGATGGGGGAGCAAGGACCAGGTGGGGGACCAGGAGTAGAGAGACAGTGAGAGACTGGGGCGGGGGTGGGGGGGCAGAGCCTGGATAGGGGTTGGGGGGAAGGGGCCAGGTGGGGAGGATCCTGGCACAATACGTTGTGGGTGGGGGAGATGTCAGAGGGGATAGCAACAGGGGAAGCAAGGTATAGTAAGGGGGCAGACCTTGTGTGGAGGAAAAGGGGGAGATATGGAGAGTATATGTGGGGGAACAGCTTTGCGGAAAGCCACAGGGAGAGGCCATACACTGGGGTCTCTGCATCCCAAAGACAGTTCCCCCTCCCCTCCCCCCAGACACACACGAGACACATGGGTTTCACTGCAGCTCCGTCTCCTCCCCGAGGCGGGAGGGACGTGTCTCCTGGGTCCCCAACGCCAGGTACCTTCATGCCGTGCTGCACACTGGGCAGTGGGATCGCTCGGCGGAGCCCACGCCTGGCGCGTGCCCAACGTGTAACGCTGCCCTGGGTGGGTGCACCGCCAGTATGGACCAGAGATCATCCAGCACCAAGCCACGAGGCGGGGCAGGGTCTGGAGCTGGGGGCACGGTAGAGTGGGGAAGGGACACACACACCACTTTGCGCCAAGCAGGGGACAAAGCAAAACCCAGATCCCCACGTGCCTGGACCCTGGGGACACTGGGATCTGGGACGAGTGTCCTGAGCTCATCTTCAATCCTGAGGCCTCATATCAGGCCGGATGTGGGACAGATCCCTGGGGAGGGGATTCCTGCCCTGGCTGACTCCGGCCCCACACACGGAGCAGCTCATTGTAGATCTGAGCCAGGGGGCATCGGCGGGGCAGCTATCTTGCTCTGCTGCCCGCCTCGTGGCCCCTGCTGGAGTGACCCTGAGTCCATATGGCAGTAGGAGCAGGAGGTTACACGTCGGCCCCTGGCACGCTGTGGATCCCACGGGGTTAGGCAGCACGGTAGGGAGCGGTCTGGACAGGTCTCCAAGAGGTTAAAGGTTACATACCCAGGACATCTGTACCAGGAGCAAGGGAGGAAGGAAGCAGCGCGGAGGGAAGGGGTGGGGGGAGAAAGAAAAAAGGGGAGGGAAAAAAGGAGTGAATTGAAATGATCATCCCAGGAGTCAGTGCGTCAGGCCCCGCCCCAGCCCAGCCCAGGGCGGTCAGCAGCCCTGTTAGTCACCCCACTACACGACAGCACCAGTGCCCAGGGGACCTGAAAACACGCCCTGGACCTGTTGAGTGGGAGTCAAGGCACGTCGCAACCCAGCATGCACTTGGGGCTCCCTGCCTGGTGTGGCCAAGCATCCCTCGGGGCAGGAGCCTCACCCCAGGGCCTCTCTTTCCATCTAGCACGAGCAGGTGAGAGCAAAGCAAGCCACCAGGCCCTGCCCAGGAGCGGGTGAGGCAGGGAGCATGGGCCCGGAGAGCCCTTCCAGACAGGGTGAGGGGAAGGGATGCCCCGGGGCATGGTGGGCATTCCAGGGCCAGCTGGGGGTGAGGGAAGGGAGGATGCAGGAAGCCAGGGCAGCTCCCAGTGGATACAGATCCAAGCCAGGCAGGCTTGAAAGGGTTCAACCTCCAAAGCCCAGCAGTCAGTCTAAGTGAGAGGCAGCCAAAAAACAAAGAGGCCTGGAATAACCAAGCGGGGCTGGGATGTAGGAAAGGGTTAAATCCACAGCTTCTCCTTCCCCCCCACCATGGCCTCACCCAGGCTGGAGCGGGTGCTGGAGCGCTCGATGATGGTATGCTTGGTGGGGTTGTTCAGCACGGAGCGCTTGGCCAGGGCGATATCGGCCGTCACCCGTGTGATGGAGATTCTGAGAGGGACGGAGAGAGGAAGAGAGCGTGAAGGCGGGAGGGGGGGCCCCCGACCTTTGCTGTGGCCCCCAGCAGGGCGCCCACCCCACCAGGGTCAGGCAACAGTACCCCAAAGGAGCCCCGGGGGCAGAAGTCAGGGTGTGAACCCCAGCACCTTGGCAGCAGAATCCCCATATGGGGAACCCCCCCATCTGCGCTGCTCATTGCTGCCTGCCCAGCAAGGGGACGCAAGGCCAGAGCACCAGACTCCTGGGCTCTCATGCTTACAGAGTGCTTGGAGATCCTCCGATGGAGAGGGCTAGGGACGGGCGGAGGGAGAGAGAGAGTGTCCTGCATCAGGCTGGAGCGAGAGCGTGCGGCTGACCTGCTGGGATCTCTCTCGGTCAGACCCTAAGGAGCCTGTCACCGTGGTGTCCAGGCGCTTGCATGGGGCGACTCCCAGAAACTGGGATTTTGAGTAAAACACCATTTCCCTGGTGACCAAAAAGGGCCACAGTGGGGAGGGTTGTGGGGGAGTGTTTGGCAGCATCTGTCTGAGGAGCCCCCGCACCTGCCATCGAAGCGATGCTTCAGGAAATCGAAGAGGGCTTTCTGCATCATGTCCGTCACCTGGGGAGAGAGGGTGACGATGGAGTCAGGCACCTGGGGGGCAGGAGGGAGGGGGAGTCGGGATTCACCGCATCAAGGTGTGACTGCGTGGGGGTTAGAAAAAGAGAGAGCAATGGACATCGGAGGGGTGGGCAGTGATTTCAGAGATCAGATGTCACTGGCTCCCCCTGGCACAGGCCCTCAGGAGACAGAGCAGATGGGTCCCGGAGGAGATGGAGAGAGGAGGACGTGGGCAGATGCAGAGGTGGAATGGGGCAAGACGGGGCGGGGGGGGGGGGTGTCGGTCAGACGGAAGGGGAGGGGAAGAGGGAATGGCCGAGCGAATGGATGGACAGACAGATGGGGATGGGTGAAACAGGGGGAATGAGATCAAGGGTCACCTGCTCCCCGGGAAGCTGCTGAAAATGCCACCTCCCCAGCCTGCCCCCCCCCACTCCATGCACCCGCCCCGGGCTCACCTCGTACCCCTTCAAGGACGGCCCCACAAGAATGATCGGCCGCATGGAGGGCACCACGTCATAGGGCGGCACATGCTCTGCCTGCCGGAGAGGGCAAAAGACAAGGTGTGACATGTACCCAGCGGGAGTCACTGGAGCAGGGGGCCCAACCCCCACGGGGGCACTGCAAAACCCAAGTGCCCTGCAGGGTGGGGGAAGAGCTGGCATCTTCTTGGGTTCAGGCTACCCAGCTCATGCTGATGCTCCCTTGGCTTGAGAGCTGGGAGGTTCTGCCTTCGTACCTTCATGGCCCAGTGCGGGTGGTGGCACTGGGTCCTGGGAGAGGGGAGCTGGTGGCATGGGAACACCCAGGCTGTTGGCTCTGGTACACTCACACGGCCCATCACCGCTGGTGGAGAAGCTGGGTGGGGAAGGATCATTTTGGGGGCCCAGGCCCGCCCCCACCCTTTACAGGCAGGTCAAGTAAAGCCCTTTTACTCACCGATTTCTGCTTCTGCTTGGCTATGTCCAGTGATCACCATTAATGGGGCAGGGGAGGGGGCAGGCGAGAGAAGACAAACAAGGCATGCGTGTTATTGACAGGTCACGCCAGCAGACACGCAGCGGCAGCGGGGAGGTTTCTGTAGCCGGCAGTGTGTGGGAAATGGGGACAGGCAGGGGAGGGGGCTCTGAAACCTGGCTCAGGCTGCAGGTGGAATCAGGGAGGGAGGAGGATCTAAGGGAGGGTGTGTGGCCACATTGGGGGGATGGCTTGGCTCCCCCAGGTGTCCCCCAGGTGCTACGCAGCTCCCCCCTGCGCTGGCCCTGCTCCCCACTTCACACCCGCCCTCTTCAATCCACACACTCTGGCACTGCAAACACCCTCCCTGCTTGGCAGCAGCAATGCCCTCCTCCCCTGCCCCCTTGGCTCACAGGCCCTTGCCCCCAGGCTGCCCCCCTGGCCCTGCACAGAATACCACCCCCCTGACTGATCCCCAGCTCTGTGGCTCACTGGGGACCCCTTGGTGAGGAATGTCCTGGAAACACCCTGCTGCAGCCCCTACCCGTGTACTCTAGAGCAGCCCCCGGGCTGCTCAGCAAGCAGCAACCTCCAGGCCACAGGGGCGCTGCCCCCAGGGGAGCGGGATGGGCCCCCGACGGGAGCCGCCCCCCCACCATCTAATGGGGGTAGGGTGGGATGGGACAGACGATGCCACTCCCATGTTTCCTGGGGGGGGGGGGAGGGGGAGTGTGCACTGGAACGTTCCACTCCCATGCTTTACATGGGGGCGCAGCATTGGAACATTCCATTCCCATGCTTGGAGAACCGCTAGAATGTTCCACTCCAGAGTTTCATGGGGAGGGGGGGAAGGGAGCACTGGAACATTCCATTCCCATGCTTGGAGAACCACCAGAACCTTGCACTCCAAAGTTTCATGGGGGAGGCCAACACTGGAACATTCCATTCCCATGCTTTACATGGAGGGGTGGGGGCCAGTGCTTCAGCCTTCACATGGTGTGAGGAGCTGCCGGAACGTTCCACTCCATGTCTCATGGGGAGGAGCAGTGCTGGAACATTCTACTCCCATGCTTTATGCTGGGGGCTTTGGAACCGCTGGAATGTTCCACTCCCGCATTTCACAGGGGCGAGGCAGCACTGGACCGCTCCATTCCCATGCTTCATGTGGGGAGGGTGTCAACTGGCAGAAATGCTCTCAACTCATGGGCCGTGTGTGTGATCACTGGAACATACCATTCTCATGCCTCATGTGCACGTATGGGGGGGGAGGCCAGAGAAGGGACACCCCCGAGGGCTGCCCCTTTCCAAGCCATGCTGGAGGCGGGGTTTCCTGGTGTGATGGGGAACACACCCAAAAGTGCCTGCAAAGGGGACATCCAGCCCTGGCTATAGGTCCCCTGGTGCCTGTGAGATGATGCTCTTACCCCATAGTGTGCCCCACAGCGCTGACCAAGAGCAGCGGCTGAACGACAATGGGACCACGTCCAAACCATGGCCCTTCCTGCCCCCCCCTCCGCCCCCAAAACCCAAAGCTCCCCAACCAAGTCAGCGAGCCCCATACACAGGGTGAATCACGGGTATTAGCAGCAGGCGTGAGCGAGGGTGCGGCAGGCGGGTGCAGAGTCCCACTCCGGGCTCCTTTACCTTCTTAAAGAAGGGGATGTGCTTGACGTTGGAGGGGGACGTGGTGACACTGCTGATGCTAGCCTTAGGGGATCGGGGGTTCTCCAGGCCCTCGGCCTCCTCCAGCTCTAAGTCAAGGGCGTCTAGGTCATAAGCTAAATTAGTCATGTCCAGAGTACCTGGGGGGGCAGATTGTGGGGAGGGGGAAAACAAAAAGAAAGAAAGAACGAATGAACGAAAGGAGGGAGGGAGGGAGGGAGGGAAGAAAAAGTAAAACAGAAAAAAGAAAGGAACAGCTGAAAAGAACAAAAGAATGAAAAAATGTACCAAAGGGAGGAGGAAAAAATGATTCAGTAAACAAAAGAGAAAAATGAGAGGAAGGGGAAAAACCTGTCGCTTCCCTGCAGACAACGTAGAGAGGGGGTCAGAGTGGGGGGAGAACCATCAGGTACCCCATCTGCAAGAGTGACAGGGCAGCTGGTAGCAGGTTTCCTCTGCATGCCATGGAGGTGGGCATAAGTGGGCATGTCTAGGGGATGTCTGTGCCCCGGTGGGCATACCTGGAGCATGCCTGTGTATACGCCCTTCTGCCTGTGCCCTGTTGTTCATCCATACAAATGCAAGACTCTCCATGTGCATGCCAGCATGAACGGCGGGCCCCATACTCCCAGCCCAGTGCTCCCCGCCAGCTCGTGTGCTGTGTATGCACCTGTGTCTCAGCCCTGGCCTGCGTTTGCAGAGGACACGGAGATTCCAGGATCTGCGGTAGGATTCCTGAGAAGAAAGCTGGGCACTTCCAGGCCAGCACCCTTGTCTCTCTGACACTGGGGCGCTAGCTGGTCTCAGGGCATAATGGGGGAAGAGACCTGGCATTTCAGCCCCTTTTGTTATTGCCAAGGCCACAGCCAGAATCAGCCCCTCTCCATCAGTCTCTCTTAGTGGTCCAGTAAACTTTGCCAGCTGGGGGCTGTCCGCTGTCAAACAGCAAAGGGAGGGGGTGGTCTTACCACTGGCAGGCGGGGTGGGTCTGCGGGTCCCCGTCACCACATCTCCCAGGCTGGAGCTGGAGTTGTCCCCCGATTTGCTGCGTGGAGCAGAAAGGCAAGGAGCAGTAAGTGCCTGGAGATGGGGAATTTCCTGGGCTGGTGGGGGGGGCAAAGGGAGGAGTGTGTGGGGGGGGGAACGGATGACACCAGTCTGGAAAGCGAGGGCCCCACCACGGCAAATTCTGAGCAAGGGGGAATTGGCTTCCACACCCAGATTCTGTGAGAGACTTAAATCTGGAACCACAGCACCAGGGCAATGCCATGTGCCCATCTAGCCTGGTATCTCCTATTCCCCTCCCCCAGCTGGGATCAGACCACTGGGGCCAGAGTCCAGCGCTCTCCCACTCACCCAGTGATGTACCAGATCCGATCAAGGGCCTATCTAGCCAGCTATTCTCCCTACTGTGCCAGTTCAGACCAATGAGTCCATCTACTCCTGCACGTTCCTCCTGACCCCTTCCCAGCCAGTACTCAGGTTCTGCCCTGCAGCATGGGGATGGAAGGCCCTTTGCATCCTCAGCTGGTGTCACTGCTGATCCTGGAGCTGGTTCTCCCCTGCCTGGCCCCTTGTGCAGGAGCTTACCACTGAGCAAAGGGAATGATGACCCAAGGTGCCCAGTAGTGAGCCCACTGGAAGGGGATGTTGATCCTCCTCCCCCCACTCCCAGTCTCACTGGAGTGGATTTGCTCAGAGGGCTAACCTGGGCCTGCCTCAGTTACCCGTAACACACTGCTCTCGAGCCCTGGGGGGTCCCAGGGCTCCAGGCTGCACGCGGATGCGGCCAGGAGCCATGATTCCCCCTCTATCCCCTCAGCTTGGCTGCTCCACCTTGAGCTCAGGCGATTTTGCCTCATCTTCTGCTCCTGCAGCATCCTCATGTTCTCCAGCTTGACTGGGCTGGGGATGAACCCCACCTCGCAGCCCTCCTTCACCAGGCGCCCGATCCACCAGTCGTTGTTGTATTTCTGCAGGACGGAGAGAAGAAGGGCCTGAGACATGGTGCCCATCCCCGCCCTGCGCCGAGCCTGTCCCATCAATGCTGTGCTGGGCCCGTGTCCTCTCCATGCCAAACCCACGCCCAGCAACACAGTGCCGAGCCCCAGTCCCCCTGCCGCGGCGCTCCGCAGAGCCTCAGCCGGGCCTGGGCCCGCGCCGGCCCCTACCTCTTTGATATGCAGGAAGTCTTTGGGTTCGAAGGAAATGGCCATGCCCTGGACCGGCACGTCATCGTTGGGGGACGGGTTGTAGCCCACATTTGTCCTCACGGCGAATGCCACCGGCTTGGTCTGTTCAGGAGACGGGTTAGCGGTGCGGGGGAGGGAGGAGAGAGATGCTGGAGGGGCCCGGGTCTCTCAGACACAAGGCTGCATTGCTCTGGCATTTCAGAGAACGCTGTTACCTAGCGGCTGCAAAGACCAGCCAGGAAGGGGGTAAGCAATCCGGGGCCAAATTCTCACCCCTGATCCAGGAACACGGAACAGCCCCAGCCAACTCCCTCCCCTCCCCTCCTCTCCCCACCATAGGAACCAAGGAAAAGGGATCCCTCCCCCAAGAAATGGAGTGGACCCCCACCCCAAGAATAAATTCCCCACGGGGCAGCGAGCCAGGCAGGGAGACCAGCCCAGGTCCCCCAAGTCCAGGAGGGGGCCACAAGCAGGGCCCTGAGAAGAGCCATGGGTGAGATGGAGCTGAACGGCTCCGGGGACTGGCTGGCTCAGGGGTTGGGCTACGGTGCCTGGTGCCTTGAGGCCGCCGGTCCAGAGCCAGGCCAGGTCGGCCGTGAGGAGAGAGGTGTTGCCGTGCGAAGGGTGAGGCGTGTGCGTAATGACTAGGGTGGTTCTTGGTCACAACGGCTGCCCCAAAAGAGGACCTGGGCGACCAAGCTGTCCCACCTATAGAGGGGCCTGCCAGCGCCAGGGGAGATGGGGAAACCCTGCCTGGTCGGGCGATAAACAGAGGCCTTTGCTCTGCCGGCGATGCCGATCTGGTAGCTAGAGCCTTACAGGGCCTTGTCCATGTCCATGGTGCCCTGGTTCTGCTCACGCACAGAGCTGCGCTAAAGGGCTGGCCCTGCCTGGGAGAGGGGCTGGCACGTCTCCCAATGGACATTACACCTCAGCTGCCAGCAGCAGAGCGAGGGGGTGCTGCGGCTGCAGAGCGTGCGAGCCCACTGCACCATGGGGGGCGGGGAGAGACAGGGGCCTCATTAGCTAATGGCTGCCGGACTGCGCAGCCAGCGAGCAGGGCCAACATCTCCCTTCTTCCCAGGGAGCCTGGCTGCGGGCAGGGGAGAGGTGTGCGCTCAGGCCAGGGAAGAGCACGAGGGGCAGCGGTGAGCACCAAGGGGCCGCCCAGGCTCAGCCTGGAACAGAGGGTCCCAGCAGGCCCCTGGGAAGCCTGATGTTCATTGTACAGAGGGGAAACTGAGGCGCGGGGAGGTGAGACGTGCCCAAGGTCAGGCAGGGAATAGAACCCTGGAGTCCTGACGCCCAAATACCAGTTGTTCTAACCACTAGTCCACACTCCCCTCCCAGAGCGGTCAACGTCACAGCCCTGATTGTGCCCAGCCCCGAGAGGGCCTCAGGAAGCGATTTGGGGACCTGGTGTCCTCCTGCGAGCTCAGACAGTGGGGTGACCCACGGGATAGCCTCCCCCAGGGCCTCTGACCAGAGGAAGAGAGCGTGCCCACCCCCCGTGTGGATATGGCTGCAGGGGTGCGTCCCTGTCACCCACCTGTGGCAGGGCGGCGGCAGTCCCTGGATGAGGTGGGGGGCCCTTCCCCCACTTGGCAGCCGGTGCTAGCTGGCTGGGAGGGGGTGTAATGGAAGGGCTGGGATGCCGCCAGCTGAGGCAGCACCAGCCGGCAGTCTCCTGGCACCAGCACTCTCCCGAGCCCAGCCCGGGTCAATGAGACGTTTCATCAAGATTAGCCAAATGAATTAGCTGATGGTGGTCCCAGGACTGCGGGATTTACGGGCGGCGCTGGGCCCGGGGCCAGCTGCAGCAAGAACAGCTAGTACATTGGGCACGGGGCGAGGGGAGGGAAGGAACAGCCAGGGTTCCCTGGCACTGGGCTCCCCCTGCAGAGCGGGGCTCTCTGGAACGGGGTGGCGACTCAGGGCATCCGCACAGCAATGCAACCTGATCCGTCACAGACGGGAAAGGGGCCAGGCCAGAAAGCTGGGGGATGAACTCCTAGCACCAGGGCAGCTTGGCGCTGGGGGTGGGGCTGAGGTGAAACTGGGAACGGAGAAGTTGAACCAACCCCCCCCCACGCTGGCTTAGCAGGTGGGAAGGCAAAGTGCCAGCCACAAGCTGCTGGACAGCCCGTGTTTCCCTGCGTAGCCCCCCAGCCTCTCGATCAGCGTCCACCCTGTGGGCTGGGTACAGAAAGGGACCCGTAGTCCCTGCAGCCTGCACAAGAGGATTCAGAGACAGAACGGGAGTGAAGGAACCTCCCCACCCACCCCCAAGCACAAGCCCTGGCACCTACCTTGGCCTTCTCCAGCTGCGCCAGGGCCTGGCGCTCAGCCTCCTTGCGCAGCGCCTCGCGATCCTCCTCCAGAGACACATCTGAGTCCGAGGGGCGGCTGGTGTAGGAATCCGCGGAGCCCTGGAGGAGCAAGCACCCACATCAGAGGCGGGTGGGCTTTGCAGCCTCCCCCGTGGAGGCAGAGCCTTGGCCACACAGCCAAGTGAGTCCATTTAGAGCAGCAGGAGATACCCAGGGGGATGCTGTCACCTCCCCATGCACTGATCACCCTGTGAAACCGCGGGGACAGGGGCTGGCCAGGCAGCCTGGCATTGGGCCCAGCTGCCCGCCACGCTAGAGGCAGTTGGATGTCATTCATTATGGACCCATCACCGTGGCCTCTGGGCACTTTAGAAACAAACCATTGACCAGCACAGCCCATCCCGGGCTGTAACAACCCCCGCCTCTGGCGCACGGGGTAAAACCTCCACGGTGTGAGCTAGAGAGACGAGCCCCTAAGGGACCTTAGGCCCCTGCAGGGCACAGGGGTTTGTAGGACTCTGGGGCTCTGCCAGCTCTGGAAGGGGAGAGGGGTCCAATGTAGTGGCTATGGTGCAGGAGTCAGGACTCCTGGGTTCCATTCCAGGCCCTGCCGCTGACTCTCTGTGCCTCGGTTCCCCCTAGTGCGGCGAGGGTTAAACTGAGTGGCAGGGAACAAGGTGCAGCTGTTCTCACCGCTCTGGGATGGAACGTGATAGCGGGGATGGGACAGGGCAGTGCCAGGCTGGGGGGGTGGCATCAGACCACATGAAAGCACCAGCACTGGCAAGAGAAACAGGGCCACAGGCGGGGAGGGGGGGCACCTAGAAACAGACAGTCCCCCTGGGGTGAGGGGCCTGGAAACCCACATCCTTAATGGGGAGCAGCCTGTGAGCGAGAGGAAATGGAGCAGGGGCAGGAGAACCAACAAGGAGTGGGGTGGTGAGTGAGACTTAGGGGCCTGATCTTGTCTGATCCAGTGGGGCTACGATCCCTGGCCTGTCCCACATCCCCAGCATGTGCCGCTTACCCGCAGGCTGAGGCCTGCTAACGAAGCAGTCAAAGTGCTCTGCCCCCACCCGGCACCTCTGCTTCGGGGGTTCCGATGCTGGTGGGGAAACTGAGGCACCAATCTTGGCAGTGAACTCAGGGAAGGGAGGAGGCAAAGAGTCCACATGGGGATGGGAGGCATCTGTCTTCTGTGGGGGCAGGCCCCTGCATTCTGGTGGACCCTGACGCACGTCCCCCTGGGGATCAGTGCAGAGGAGACAGGACAGTGTGCAGGCTCTCGGCCCTGCCTGTGACGAATGGAGCTTCCTAGTCACCGGAGAGCCCTGGCAGGGCAGTGAACGCGGGAGCAAGAGCCCAGAGAGAAGGCGAGGGCTCCGCGTGGCATCAGTGCAAGGCGTCCCAGCTGCTGCATGGGGCATTGGGCTTGGCGCTGCCCCAGCCTCGCCTAGTCATACTAATAGAGCGTGGGCACTGGGCTCAGGGGCCGGGTTTGTTCAGGAATTCGGGGCATCCAAGGAAGGGGGGTTAACTGTGAAGGGCAGTTTAGAGAGGCCTCCTGCACTGTTCTCCTAACTCCCCTCAATCTCGACCCGCAGCTGCCCCACTGTGCCAATTCCTGCCCCCCAGGTCTGCCAAGGCCCTGAATCCTGACCCAGCTCCCCGCAGAGCAGAGACTGCCTGCTAATGACCCTGCATCACCAAATGGGTTGGTATCAGGATCCTAGGGGAAGGGGAGGACTAGCAAACTCATTTCCCTGACTGGCTTGGGGACTCCGTGTTCTCTTGGGGTCCCTCCCCTTCCAGTCCTGCAGCGGGGTTCCCAGCTCGCTTCCAAGTCTCCGGGCCCCGGGGACAGAGATGGCAGCCCTCAGCTGCCTCTGCCCGGGCCCCAGAAACATCAGCGCTAATTAGTCAGCTCTCATCCCACACAGTGAGTTCATCTACCTCCCCGGCTGTGTCAGGAATGTGGGGAGCAGCATCCCATGGCTGGCAGCTCAGAGGGGATCGGGGAACTGATGGGGGTTCCCCTTTAATCACAGGCTCTGCACTCAACTGCTCGGGATCTAAATCAAACCTGCTGCTTTCTCCGCAATCCCAATAACTGAACGACCCCAAGGGGCCAGGAGCTGAGGGCAGGGGGCTATGCTCAGGCCAACCAGAGGGACTGCTGCAGAGCCCCACAGAGCATCCCCCCTCTCCCAAACCGTGCCAGCCTCCTCTCAGGGACGTTCCAGGTGCCCTTCGGTCCCAGCTGGGTTTAAACACACCAGCAGGTTTCACTGGATCAAACACAGAGGCATCCTCTGAGGAGCCCCCCCAGAGGGAGGCAGCGTGGAGCAGGGGGGACCCCTGCTGAGGGGGGCAGCCTGTGCTGTGTGAGGATGGATGGATCTTTGCAAGCCTGGGCTAACCTCAGTCAGGAGTGGAGATGATTCAGCTGGAGCCGGCTGGAGGGGGGACCACCTCCCCGCAGAGACATGCAAACCCTCCCCCTTCCGGTCTCCCCTTTTTGGCCCCCGACTCTGGCCAGGCAGCTCACCCAGACAGACGGGGTTCGAAGCCAAGGTAGCAGCGTACTCACCTCCTCCGAGTCGTCCAGCCAATACAGATACATCCCGGCCGTGAGCGGGGGGGGGCGCACAGGGGAGGGGGGCAGCCCGGCTGGGAGGGGGGACCCCAGGCAGAGGGGCGGAGGGCTTCGGGAGACGAGGCCAGCAGGCAAGGAGGGGAAGCCACAATGCAGTTTTGCTGAGTATCAAGGGCTTCAGGGGTGGGCATCAGCACCCCAGGGTGGGCTGGGTGGGAGGCCCTCGGGGTGATCTCGCAGAGGTACCATCCGCCCTGGCTCAGGGCTGGGGGAGGCAAGCTCATGAGGCACGGCTGCCCGGCTTCCCCTGCCTCGGACCAGAGCGGAGAGACAGGCAGCCAGGAGCGGATGACGTGGGGCTTGGACGCAATTGGCTCAGTGACCGAGCGAGTGTCAGATATGAGTGCAGCCGGCATGTGGCCCAGCTGGGTACGTGTGCGGGGGGTCGCCAGCCCTTTCAGAATGAAGACGCTGTTCTGAAGCCCTGCAAAGTGGAACAGGGGGTGCTTGGGGGGCTGGGAGGGAGCCCTGCCCCGGGGGGGGAGGGGAACAACCCACCCAGCTGAGAGGGATTTCTGGGCACATGGGGGTTTAAGCGAGCAGCTAGTGGGATGTACCACGGAGCAAAGGCATTGGATCGGGGGCCAGGGATGGCACTTAGCCCTGGTTGTGCCATTGGGTGCTGTGCTTGGGGCCAAGACAAATGGGAACGGGGAAGAGGGGGAGGGAGAACTGTCTGGATCCAGACTTCCCCAGCGGCCCTTATTTGCTTCTCCAGCCCCTCGACCCAGAGTATTCGAGCACCTGCCACATGCTAATGAACTCCAAGAGGTGAGTCAGGATCCAGTGGGGGAAACTGAGGCACAGAGCACCTCCCCCACAGGACCAGATTTCCAAGTGCATAGCCCTATGGAAAATCCTCCCCCAGCATGGGTGCTGCACCCTGAAAATTCAGGCCCAAGGTCCCGCAGAGATTCAGCGGCAGAGCCGGAATTCGAACGTAGATCTCCTGAGGCCTAGACCCCCAACCCTTCCTTTCCTGGCTCCCAGCCCTCCAAGAACTTCCCCCTCGCCCCACTAATTCCTTTGTAAATGTGAAGCCGGCACACAGTCTGTTGCTGGTCTGGGACCAGAGAACCCCCTCAGAGAAGAAACACAGAGATCAGCACAAATTCATGGGGGCGGGAGGGGTCACGGATACCTTGACAGCACAGGATTCCCAACGTGTTTCACAAGCTCTCTGGAAGCCCTGCCACCCCACCGCCATGCAGCCACCTCAGAGTGGAACGAGGCAGCTGTTTAACAGCGCTCAGCAACAAACAGGCAACGGGGGAGTCTGAACCCCCCCCATGTGTGGTCAGGAACTAGGTTTTACATCTCCAGAGACAGCCCCTCGAACAGCAGAGCGCCCCCTAGCGCCCAGCTGGAACTGGGGTCAGCCCTGATTCCATGGGCAGGATGGCTCCTACTAAGCCCCTCACCCGGAGCATGGCGCCACCCTGGGGTGTTGGGGTCAGCACTGACCCAGAAGGGAGAGCGCCCCATCGCCTCTCACTCCCTGATGCCCAAGTTAACCATTTCTCAACCCATTGGGAGGAGGGACAACTCCAGCCTGCTCCCTACAACCAGGAATCCCCCCCAGTGCCTCCCCCTACCATGGCGCATCCTGCTCCTCCCCCGCCCGGAGCCTCAGCCCCCAACCTCCCAGAAGAAACACCCCCACCAGACCCTTGGCTCCGGGGTGGGGTGGGGGGTTCTCTGTACTGAGATCATAGATGGACAGGAATGTGGAGGGGAGGGCAGAGGGGCATCTGGGGGGAGAGTGGGGCAGAGGGGTTATGGAGAATTCTGGGTGGGAAAGAAGCAGAGGGTGGGGGGGGCATGGGCTGAGGTGGAAGCGAGGCTCTTGGGGGGGGGCTGTGAATGGAGTGAGGAGGAAGCAGGGGGTAGAAGAAGGTTGCGGGGGTGGCAGAAGCAGGGGGTGCAGGAGGGAGGGATTGTGGAGGGGTGCAGGAACCCCTGCCAGCTCAGCTGGCCTTGGAACCACTGTGATTGGGGCTGGCTGGGTGCTACATGGGTGGCCCCATACTGAGGGGGGTCCCAAGTGTTTGCGGGGGGCACAAGGGAAGGGATGAAGGGCAGCGAGCCTGCCAGAGAGCGTCAGGGTTGGGGAGCAGCCAGGGGGACCCCAGGCCCCCGGAGAGAGTGAGAGCTGTCAAGGGCTGGGGTGGGGGGACGCTCACCAAGATGGGCCGGTGCCCTTTGCTGGCCGTCTCCATGCTGCCGGCGCTGGCTGGGCCTGGGCGCGAGTGGGCAGCACGGAGGGGGGGGCTCTGCTGGGCTGCCGGGGCTCATGTTTCACCAACAGTGCAACATTCGCAACCTGCCAGGGTATATTTAGCCCAGTGCAAGGGGCGGGCGAGAGAGGGGGGCTGGCCTGAGCCAAGGGTCAGCCTCGGGTATAGCCACCCTGGGCACACACTCTCTGCTCACAAGCGATCTCAGGGGGTCCGGAGGGGACTGAAAACAGCCAGGCACCCCCACCCGCGTGCTGGTGCCCCTCTGCCCCCTGCTATTCCAGGCCCCCCAGCTGTGCCGATGCCCCTCCATCCTGACCCACAGTCCTCCCCCTGCTACCCCAAAACTAGCCCACTCCTCACAGCAGACCCCGGCTGGAGAGTCAGGGGCACGCTGCGTAGTCCCGGGGGCGCAGACGCTCACTGCAGGGAGCACATGCAGAGCATGCCTCTCGTGAGGTGCGTGGGGGGAAGCTGTCAAAGGGCCAAGGTTCCTCCTGATCCTTGCAGACCCCTGTCTGAGGCCGAAGCACTGAGCAGGGCTCTGGGGCTGCTTTCTGACCCGGGTCAAATTCTGGGATGGGTTAAGGCTAAATGGGGTCTGTAACCCGCATATTTTGGGCCAATTCAGCAGCCCCTTCCTCCCAGCCCAGCCCCCCCCCCCCGCCCATCTCCCGCTCCCTGATCTTCCTGCCAAAGCAGCCCCCAGCTGAGCTATATGTTGCCCCCCAACTGTACCAGCTCCCTCTGGCGCCTCTGAGTTCAGGGATCCTGCCCTTGATCCCCTCAGCTGCAGGACCTGGGTGTCCTGGCTCCCCGACAATGGCCTGGACTGACCTCAGCCCCGAGGAAAAGCCGGAAGAGGGGAGAAGGTGGGTTTGCAGAGCACAGCTCTGTACCCCCTATTCACAGCCCATGCCAGCAGAGGGCAGCACAGTGCCAGGTTCGACTGCCCGGCAGACACGCACACACTTTGGGGGGAGGGGGGGCTGGGAACCCCCCCCAATTAACACTCCTGGGGGAGATCAGATATGAATGACCCAACTGCTAACACCCAAATAGAGCTAGACCCTGCCCCGGGCCCCCGCAGTCCCTGCACCCAATTCCCAGCCTCCCCACAAAGTGCGAGCTTCCAGGGACCCTGGTTCCACATTCTTTGGGGGCCCCATAAGGTACCAGCCTCTCTCGCCCCCATCCAAACCTCAGCTGACCTTGGAGCAAGGTGCTGACCCCATTCCAGCCTCCGTCCCATCACCCTCCACGCTTACTAGCCTCCAGAAGCTACTGTGTTATTGCCAGCCAGGTCCAAGCCCCCCAACGCAGGGAGCTGTCAGTGGGCAGCCCCACAGCCAGCAGGGAGTTCTCCCTCCTCATCGGGTTGGGCTTGTTCCTGGGTGGGGCAGGCAGCTGAGAACCCACCCCACTACCATGAGTGAGCCCACGCTGCCCTCTGCCGGGCAAGGCTAGGAAGGGCTCTCCGAAAGGACCTGCACCCCCAGGACCCCAAGATGTGGGAATCAGGCTGAGATTCATCCCATCAGATATTCCTAGGCATGTAGCCCCTGGATTCACCCTCATGGCCTCCCTGGCTGGGGCTATAACGTACCACCGGAGGCTGTTTCTCTGAAGCGGGGCTCAACCTCTGAGCTGGAGATCCCCCCCGCCCCTTCCCACCTCTATTCCAGATCTATCCCCCACCCCCTTCACAGGCGACCTGAGCCGCCCCAGGCAGCCACTCAGCCCACCCTCCACCAGCCCTCCCAGCCTCACTGCGGGGGCTCACGCATGATAGCACCACAGAGAACGGGCCCACTCAGTTCTGCGGTGTTTGAGAAGCGCCTCCATTGGGTTTTGGCCGGTTCTGATCCAGGATCCAGGGGCGATGGGTACTGGGTCGGTCTCTTTGGGTGGAAGGTTCCGCTTTCGGCCCACTGCCAGGCGGAGAGCCCTCCCTCGGGCGGATAGAGGGTTCAGGGCCTTTCGGGAGCCCGTGAATGAGCCCAGGGCACAGGGAAAATCCCGCTAGCCCAGGTGCGTGTCCCCCGGGCCCCAGGTCTGTGACCCCAGCAGCCTCATCATCGCCCCAGGGGGCAGCAGGGAAATGGCCAGGCCCAGAGCTTTCCCTAGGGCACCTCTCCAGCCTTCTCCCTCTCGCTCTGGAGGGTGGAAATACAAGGCAAGCTGGCCCTTTAAATCCTCTCTCTGCATGGGGGCCTCGCTCCAGGAACCTTCTCCAGGGTAACTGCCACCTCCAGCATCTTCCCATGTCATTGCCATGGGAACCATTCACCCCCCCCCTACTGGGGGGACAGGTCATAGGACCCCTCTCTCCAGCTGTTTATCCCCTTCCCCTTCACACACGGGGGGGGGCGCGCTGGAGGGGATTAAGCCACACCCACCCCAGCCCAGACTTCCAGCCCCCCGCCCTCCAGTGTAGGGCTCAGTCCAGTGCAAAATCTAACGTCCCAAGCACTGGGGCCTTGTCCCGTCCCCTGGGGGTGATGACCTCGCCCCCGCCTGAGATCGAGCTCCATCCAGCCCAGCCAGTGCCTTCTCTCGGAGTCTCCCCCACTGGCTGGCTCCCCATAGGGCAGAACCGGGAAAGGGGGGGGGGCTGCCAGGTGATCACCCAGTTAGCTCCAGGGGCTGAAGCTTTCGATGCTGGGTCCTTGGGGGCCTGCCCAGACGCAGCCGTTGGGTTCTGGTTCTAGACAGACAGGCGCCGGCTGGACCGACCACCCCACTCTCCCCCCAGCGGCCTGGCCCCGGGATGCTGCCCCCCACAAACCATCCATCTCGCGGGGACTCAGCTGTTTCATTAGTTAATGTCTATTCCAGCCCCCCCCCCCCCCCGCCTCCCCCACAGGGGGTTGCTATGGAGACCACGCTGCTTTGCTTCCGGCTCGGAGATGTTTCTGGGCTGTTTGATGGGGGGGGACGGGGACGCAGAGTGATGGTGGCTGGAATGGGTGGGGGGAGTGACAGCAAAGGGAGTGGGGGAAGACAACGCTGCAGGATCTACCCAGCTGTCAACTCCAGTCCCACCCACGCTGCTGGATCGATAGCCAGCTCCCCTCCCTGCCCTGAAGGGGGAGGAGCGCTGGCTCTGTGCATCTTATGGATGGGGAGAAAACCAGAGCTGGTCCAGTCCTGGCCTCTGCTGGGGGTGGGGGGGGGCACTGTGGGGAGCCTTTGCCTGGTGTGGGGGCATTGTGGGGAACAGGGCCAGAGCGCTGGCTGGGGGAGCTCCCGGCGACTCCAGCCCTGGTCTCCCCAGCAGGGGGCGCTGCAGGGATCAGGGCAGGAGCAGAAAGAATGGGATGGGAGAAGCATCAGAAGAGTCATAGCAGAGCTGTGCTGTACAGTGGAAAGGGGGCACATTAACCCCTTCCCTCCCCTGACCCTGCCAGCTACAGCCAGCCCCCCACCCCACTCCTCCCCCAGCCAAGCACGCCCTGCCACCCCCCCCAATGTGTGCGGGCAGCATCCCTGGCAGCGAAGGGGTTATGGCCATGCTGTGTGGGCATGGGCACGGACACAGCTCACATCAGCCCCAGGATGAAAAGAGTCCCCAGGGCTCTGATCCCAGCCCTCCTGTGACCTTTCCCCTGCTTGGGGGGGGGAGGGGCAGCTTTGACTTGGGGCTCCCCCTAGATGCCCAGGTTCCTCTCCTACAGGCCTAGAGTCAGCGTACCAAAGGGGAAGGGAACCGTGCAATTCTTGCGTCCCCAACTCCATCACCCTCCAGCGGTACAAACCGGTCTTACTAAGATGCCATTTCTGCCCTTAAAGAAACACAGCAGATTAAACCGAACTGTAGATTCGGGCGGGAGGGTGGATTCTCCACTGGCCTGCAGAGGTAGGCACTGGTTTGGTCTCTGCACTGCTGAGGGTGACGCACACACCCCATTCTCTCCCATGGGCACTTGACGTTAGTTCTTTCTTGTTCCTTTCCTCACTCTGTAGCTGCTTTAGACTGAAAGGGGCCGGCCATGGCACTTGGCAGATGGAAACAGAACAGCACAAGAGCTGGGAACACGATGCTGTGGCTGTGGGCAGGGATCGAACCCAGGATCCTCAGCACTGAACCCTCAAGACCCTGTTGCTCAAGCTAAAGGAGTAACTGAGAGCAAGGAGGAGACTGTTACAGCAACTGGGGCTAGCCACTAGGGGGCGATGGGACCACCTGCCCTACGCTGCTGTATTACATCTAGTTTCAACACTCCCAGCTGCCAAATCAATGGTGCAAAGCAAGTTAAATCCCACATCTCATGGCGAGGGACCCCTGGGGCTCTGTCCCCTCTCCTGAACACGGGATGCCGAGGCTATGGGAGCTCCCACCCCGCTGTCCTTACCTGTCTGACGAAGCTGTTGGAAGTCGTGTCCGAGGAGGTGCTGCCATCAGAGCGTTTAAACCTGCTCTTCCGCTTGCTGTATTTCCCCTGGAGGAGGGAGGGACAGCCTGGTTAACGAGCATGCAGGTGCTTACAGAGGGGCGGGAGCAGACAACTGCATGGCATACCAGAAACCTGTGGAACTCCCTGCTGCGGGACATTGCTAAAGTTAATGGAGGAGTTACCCTGAAATCTGCTTTGCCACGCCTTCCATCAGAGGATCTCAAAGTACTTTACAAGCACAAATTAATTAAACTTCATTCCTCTCCTGCGAGTATCATTACCCCCACTGTACCGCTGGGGGGAAACCGAGGCACAAAAAGGGAAAATGCTTTACTCATGGCCACGCAGCAAGTCAATGGGAAAGCGGAGAGCAGAACACAGGAGCCCCACTCCAATTGAGCCTATAAACAGTCCTATGACCACACTAGACATCCGTATGGCTGAGAATAGAGTGAGCTGCTTGAATACAGATGACAAGCCTAATGCTTCAGGGCATCAGGTCATCAGCTTGTGAGGCCAGGAAGGAATCTCTCCCCTCACGGTAGCATATCACACCACAAGGAGGCTGCCTTCCCCTGTGGCCAGCGGCTGGGGACAGATGGACCCCAGGCTAAACATCCTGCTGAGATGGTCTGAGATGGTCTATTCCACTGTGAAAATCCCTCAGATCGCAGACCCTTAGGACATGTCCCCATCTAAACACCCACCTGGGCCTGGCCTGGCTATGGGATCCCCTTCCCTATGGGGCTGCTGAGTCTCCCACAAAGGAGCCAGTGACCCCCACAGGTCTCTGGCACTCACACGGCACACTGGGAGTGCAGGAGGCAGGGCTGAAGGGAGGGGTCGCCCTCCAGGGAAGCAGCTGGCTCCGAACGCCGCACGGTCACCTGATGTGGGTGCCAATCAATAGGCAGCTCCAGGGCTTTAATAGCCTCGCTGGGTTCCCAACCAATCTGGCGTCACAGCCAGGCTCTAATCACTGGGGGGGGGGAGCTAATTGCAATGCCGGCCATGTCAGCTCACCCCGATGGAAACAGGGAGGCGCGCGCCAGTCAAGGGCAAACGGCACTGGATCGGGGTGGGCCTTTATTGCAGCCGCTGCTGGGGCCCCCCATATTGCTCTGGGGAGGAATCAAGAACTGTGGGGGGGACCCCACCCCCCTACCCCACAGACAGCAGCATGTTTATAGGGTAACCATCGATCACATGGCATATTCGGGGGGGGGGGGGACCTAAATGCTCAGCTAGCTGAAGGGGAAACCAAGGAACAGAAGAGGGAAGTGGCTTGCCCATCAGAGGCCCCTGTGGGGAAGACAGCCTGGGAGCAGCTTTACTGCCCCGTGTCGATGGGCGGGGTGAGGCGTCTGCCCACCTGTCCCCATGGGCGCTGCAGGGCTGGGGCCGAGCTCCGGACAGATGTACAGGGGGTGGGGGCCTGAGCTGTGTTCTCCAGTGAGATCCGGAGAGCTCCCCCTGTGCCCAGGTAATGGTGGGGCTCAGTCTGCGTGCAGAGGTGTGGGGTGTTTAACACATCACACCCACTGGGCCTAGCAAAGGCAACTGATTCAGCATGGAGCAGCTCTCGGGCCATCCTCAGGGGCCTCGGATTGAATCAGCCAGTTGGTCGTCAGGGAGAGGGGGGGAGAGAGAGGATGTGGGGCTGATTGGATTTGCAGCCAGTCTGTGCCCCCTCAACTCTCTCCCTGCCCCACAACCAGGGTGGGGGCAGTGTGGGCTCCAGAGATCATCCTGCTGCTGCCCAGAGCAGTCCCCTCTGTGCCAGGGGCGGGGTGGGATCCACAGGGGCAGAGGCTGAGCCCAGGGAAGGGGTTCCAGTCCCAGGCTTATGGACCCTCCAGGGGAGGCCCCCAGCTGCCAAAGAGATGAAGGGGGTGGGGCTGCGATCCACACACACACCCCTACCCTGTGCAAGGAGCTGTACACACACCCCTACCTCCATGCAACAAGCTGTACAAACACACACCACCTCTGTGCAATGAGAGCTGTGTACACCCACACACACCCTTATCTCCGTGCAACGAGCTGTGTACACACACACACACACAACCTACTATACACACGCCCACCCCCACACAATCAGAGCTTACTACAGACTCGATTTACTACACACACACACACACTCCAAACACCTCCCTAGTGACACATGCGCTCACCTCCACTCCTCCCTCTCGTGCACAGGCTCTGGTGCTCTCCTTCCTCCCACCCACGCAGGCCCCAGCAGCCATGCAAACGTACACACAACACACCTGCTGCTACTGAGTCATCCCATGACCTAGCGGCTCCTCTTCCAACAGAGCCTGGCAAAGGCTCCAAATACCCGGCTGGTGGCAAAGACTTAGACAGAAGGAGCTAGCAGCTGGGAGCTTCCCTACAGCCCGCGCTCCTGCACCATCCTCTACAGCACCTCCTGCTGGGAGAGGCTGGGGTTGGAGTAGCCAAGATTTCCACCCCACCCGCAGCCAGTGCTCCCTACAGAAGGTCAATTGCTGCTGGACCCTTCTGCTGCTGTCCTTGAGGTCCCAGTCTTGCTTCCCTCCATCCCGATGCGGGCAGGGTCATCACAGCCCGGGGGCGTCAGTCCTTTTCCAACCGGTTCCTCCCAAAGCTCCCAGTGAGTGTGAGGCCTTTCTGCACAGGGCAAGCGGTCAGGACACGTTGGGGCAGGTCTCGGAATGAGCCAGGCGCATCCCAGAGGGACAGCTGGGCCCAGTTGCTGCCCAACCCACAGACACGTGGTCTCTGAGCAGGGCAGGAGTTGGTATTTTTAGGATTCTTCCCCACCCCCATCTTTCCAATCAGGGCCCCTCCCCCGTCACATTCACTGTGCCTCCATGGGCGGCTGGGATCCCCCATCCAGAGGGCTGGTGCAGGGCATAATTTGTAACGAAAGAGGTACCGATACTGCAAGCTCGGAGGTGCTGGGGCTACAACCTGCCAAGCCTAGAGGGGTCCGGGCTCAGCCCTGGCACAAATTAAGCACTGGGTTGGTGGCTCTCCAGGTGGGGAAGGGTTAATCATGGCCATTTACAGAGCCAGATCCTAAGCTGGTGGAGGCTGGTTCGGTGTTTCCCAGCCCTGTGTTGAGGGCCTGGCACTGCCAGGGTGTCTGGGTGCTACCAGGAGCCTCTCCCCACTTGCCTCTCCAAATCGCCTGGTGCTGGGGGACAAAGGGGCTGCGTGTGGACAACACCCAGCAACGTGATTGGGAGGATGTGCTGAGCTGGGTCAGACCAGTGGGTCCATCTTGCCACTGCTATCCTGCCCCCCTCCCCACCCCGCTCACTAGCCCTGACCAACAGGTCCAACCTGCCACTGGGATCCCCACCTGAGTACATCAGAGCAATGGCCCATCTGTGCTGGCATCCCCGCCTCCTGCTACATTGGCTCACGGCCTGTTTCCAGCAGAGGCAAAGTCCCCTGGTACCAACTGGCAAGGGGATGGGGCGGGAAAGGGGTGTGGTGACTCCGGAGAGGGTTTCCCAAATTATCCTGTATGTTCCAAAGTTTCCCGGAGCGACACCTGCCCTTCGCTAGCTGCCGTTCATGGCAGCAGCCCAGGGCACCCTACGCAGCGGGACTGATCCAGCCCCACAAACCCCTCGGGATCATTCCCCACATTTCCAGCTGGGGAGACTAAGGTGACACAGCAAACGAACAGCAGGGCGGGGACTAGAACCCAGGTGCCCGGACGCCCCGTCCCCTGCCTGCTCTAACTAGGAGACCGCACTCTTCCAGCTCCGGGGGAGGCACCCCTAGGACCCCCACTCCCATCTCCTCTCGGCTAGCTTTGGCACCCATTGCAAAGTTTGGGGGTCGCCTCCCTTGTGATCTCTGGGCATGCGGGGGACACCTGCAGGATGTAGGGCATGGGGTGGGGGGACCCCGCTTGGCCTGGCTGGGGCAGGAGGAGCCCGGTGGGGCCAACAGGGCTTTTGTGCTAAGGCTGAAAGCCGAGGGCAGCTGGGAAGGGCTGATCCCCGGGGAGGGGAGGGCGGAAAGCCGCAGCCAGGCTGAGATTCCTCCAATCCCCCCACATCGGTTCGAATCCCCCCCCCCAGCAAGACTCACCCCGACCCCGGGAAAAGCAGAGACCAGTGAGTCATTGGCCGGCTCCACCCGCCCTCCGGTTCCGATCGGGTCCAGTCCCACCCCCGCTATTTCTGGCTACAAAGCTCCCCCCCAGGCTGCGGGAGACGCCCCCCCAGCGGCGGTGGCGGGGGGGGTGTTATCCCCCCTCCCGCGGTCCCACCTGGAGGCCGGGGTTGTCGAACACGTCCATCTGGATCTCCTGGGTCGAGCTGCGGGGTGTCCGGGCCATGCCGCCCTCCCGAACCATCGGGCTCCCGGCGTCTCGGCCTGGCTCGCACCGGACTCGTGTCCCAAGCCAGCCCCGGCGGAGGAGGAGCCCGGGGCGGGGGCGCGTGTGGGGGCGGCCGCCGGCCGGCCCCTCCCGGCGGCCACACAATGCGCAGGCGGGGCGGGCGGAAAGGGGGGGGGGCGCGGCGAGGTTCGGGGGCTCGCCGGCCCCCGGGGGGGGGTGGTCCAAGCGCCCCCCTCCCCCAGCAGAGGGGCTGAGCGATGGGAGGGGCTGGAGAAGGGAGCGCCCAGGAGGCTGGAAGGAGAGACAACCCCCCCACCCATCCAACCAGCCCCTATACAGCCAGGAGACCCCCCACACACCCCGATTCCCATCTCCCCCTACTGAGGGGCCTGGCTGCCCAGCAGTGCCGGGGGGGGGGGGGCAGATGACAGGGAAGGTCAGCCCTGGAGTGGGGACTCCCAGGGGGTGAAGGACTGGCTGGGGGGTGGCCTTATGCCTCCCTGCCCCCACACAAAGCCCCCTGAGTCCAGGGCGATGGCTGGGCGGGGGGCTCCAGTGATCAGTCCCCTCCCTGTTGCCCAGATGGCTCTAGCTTGCTCTGGGGGGTTGAGGACACCACTGCCCTATGACTCCCCCAGGTCCTGCTCAGATATGGCCATGGGTATTTTACTGCCCTGCTGGGCAGCTATTCCAGACCCACAAAGGGCTGGGATTCCTTGTCCCTGCCCCTAGTAGGCAGTGTGCCTAGGGGGGGCTCTTGACATATCATTCCAACCCACACCCCAGCTGGAGAGCATGTAGTAACCTGGTGTGGCTTGAGAGAGATCTCTGGGCACCAAGGCGGAGATCCCCCGCTGGGCCGGATTGCCTTGCTTCCCGTCAGGTCACAGGGTCAGTGCAGGCATGGGTGCCATGCTGCCGGGATGTGCATGCAGCCAGGGGAGCTTGGTTGGGAATAGGTCACAGCCTCCCAGAGCCCCTGCCTCAACAGCCTGCTGGAAAGCGACCAGCTGTATTGCTTAGCTGGCCCTATTGTGCAGCGATGGCTGGCCTGGGTCTCCAATGCTCTTCTCCTGGACTGTTCCTCAGTGCAAGATTCCCTGTGGCTCTTAACCCTCTCACCTCGCTCCCACTTCACTCTGCACCCTCCTTTCACCCCAACCCCTTTCCCCCACCAGATCCTTCCTGAGAACCCACCTGCCCCAGGGCTCATTGGGGGCTCCCAACAGGCCCTGATGATCCTCAGAGCCAACCGCATGCCATGCAGTCTCTACATCCCAGCACAGAGGGAGCACCATGGCAGGGGCAAAGCAGCAAATGGGGCTGCATCAATGTCCCTGGGACGATAGGGGAGAAAATCCACATGGCTGGTGGGATTTGTGGCTAATTAGGAATGAAGCATGGGGACCTGGGTCTGCGCTTCCCCATCCCCTCCCTTGTCTCACTCCTAATTGGGCTGCGGCTTTGCCTGAGCATTGGGATGCGCCAACACCAGAGTGGAGAGGGACGTAGGTCTGGGCTGGGCTGGCTACCCAGATAACATGCACAGCTCTGGAAACCAAAGTGCAGCAAATAAACCCTTGTGTCCAGCTCGATGAAAGGGGCCCACTGGGCAGCCCCAGAGCCTGAATCCTCCCCTTGGCCATATGGTCCGTCTGTGGATCTCAACCCGCCCTATAAGGTGTGGTGGCTGAATGGTGAGCGAGTCTCCCTTGATCTCACACTGAAAAGCTGCATCCAGTCCACCTAGCTTCAAAACGAGGGCCTGATCCATCAAGGCAGGGCCAGCAAAGGTGGTGAGATGGGCTGTTCCCTTGGGTACCATTGGCTGTGAAACTGACACGGCTTGGTCAGGTGAGCTCAGTGAGCCCCTGGCTGGGGGAACTTTGACTTGACTCCCTATGAACGACCTACTCAATGCTTGTCTTCTCTGCTGAGCATGCCAACACTGAGACTGACCAGTGCCCGTGTGTCCAATTAGAATTGAGCTGAGATCCATGGCACTCATCTCACCTCAGCAATTAGGCAGTAATCGGCTTCAACCACAACTGCCCAAGACTGGATTTGAGCAGACTGCTGAAGGTCCCTGTGTCCCGTCCCATTCAGCTTGCTTTTGTCCCGAGGTGGCTTTGGAGTCTTGTCTCCTTGCTTTTGGAGAGTGAGGGGGTGGATCTGAAGGGACAGATCAACCCACATCCCCTCTGCCAGGGTGGAGGTTCGAGGTCCAGTCCCAAGCCGCACGGAGGCCCTAGAAGGTTAAAAATGAACCTCTCTGCAGGGAGCTGTGGATTCACTCCAGGGAGCTGGCTCCTTCCTGGCCTCTGCAGCTGGGAGACAAACTGTCCAAGAACACGGGACACCCGATGCAAGAGAGATTTTCCATGATTAGAACCCATCTATCACTGACGGGCTGAGGTGTGACGGCAGTGCCCAAGCACTGAATCATATTTAATCTCCACTTTGCAGGCTGGAAAAATGAGGCACAGAGAGAAATGACTTGCCCAAGGTCACACAGCTAATTGGTGGCAGAACCGGGAATAGAACCCGGGCATCCGGTCAGGCTCTAGCCACACTAGACCACGCTGCCTTCCCCCAACTTTGGAGGGTGGGGATCCAGCTTGGATGACTGTGACAATCCGGGTCCAGACACCCAAGGGGCGAAAAGGGGGTCTGAACCCCAAAGAATATGCAATTGACTCACCTGGTTCCATACAATGTGATGGTGGATGAATACATCATGGAAGGTCTTTCATGAAAGCTTGTGATGTTCTGGACTTGCGGAGCACCAGGAGAGCTGCATGCAGGGTATGACTGTAGGTACGTGCCATTGCATGTGTATATGTGTAGAACCTTGTAACTGTGGTGCGTCTACAGCGTCACCTCGCAACAGGTGGTGAAGGGGTCAGGCAGAGATGGGAGGGGCACCAAGCCAGTTGCTTACAGGAAACCAACTTCAAGTACCCCTTCATTGTCCAACCAGGAAAAGACAATGGTGGACCATTAGAGTTAATGGAAAGACATGGAGACAACTGGGAATTCCCCCCACTCTGAATACCCAAGAGTCACCATGCCAGGAATGAAAAGAAAAAAAAAAAAGCCTTTTAAAACCAGGTTTGTGTCTGAGGTTTTTTCCCAGAAATTGAAGGGCTGCCTTTAAGTGCAAAGCTGTCCCTGAACCGCTGGGTCTTTCTATGATGGCCAGGGCATGCTGGGAAACCATTCGGAGGCAACAGGTACTTTATAGTAGAAAAGGGGATTTGTCTAATATAGAAGGGTAAAGTCTGAAGTTGCCTCTTTTTGTTCTGTGTGACTGGTCTGCGTTTGCTTTTCCTGTTTCACTTTTGAATCTGTGACTTTTTTTTCCCTATTAAATACGCTTTTTGTTAATTTTTGCCCCCAGCAGGTCTCTGGTGCGTGAACTGGGTGGAGTGGGTCCGCCAAAGTGAACTGATACCTGGGGGCTCTTTGCACACCTTCGGGGGTGACAAACCAGAAGGGAAAAGTCCGAGTGCCTGGTAATAGGAACTCGGGGTAGATGGAATGGGGAAGACTTGGGACTGGAAGGGCCCTGCAAAGAGTGACTAAGTTGCTGGAAGCCAGGGTGAGACCTTTGGCCTGTGTGCTGGCTAATGGTGTCAGGTCTCTGAGACACAGCACTGTCGCATTAAGGCAGACAGTGACAGAACCCCTCACTGGGCCCAGAATGTCCCAGTGACATCAGAACTGCCCCGGCCTCTTCGTCCCAAACTCCAAACCAAGCCCTGAATCGATACAAGGTTGGTTGGTTTGTTTTTCTTCCCACCCATCGCACCGCACGTCCCATTCCTGCTTCCAGTTGGCAGTGAAGCATCCACACCATGAGGTGGGAGGCTGCTCTCCTTTGATTTTTGTCCCAGCTGGAAGCAGAAAATCCTAGAGTCCCCAGAGGGCGCGACTTCTCCCAAGGTTTCCCATCTGCAGAAGGATCCCAATGTTCCAGCATTTCCCCGACGTTCATGATGTCATGAGACACCCGAGTTAGGGATCCCGAGTTAGGGGCAGATGGGAGGCTGGAGATCATGGCCATGCAGACATAGTCCCACCACCATTCAGGGTCTCCCCCTGGACATGACCCTCCCAGTGCATGGAGCAGGCTGTGTTCTCATCTCTCCCCTCCCTGCCAGACTAGACCCCAGAGATGGGCTTGGACCAAAACCCGTATCTAAGCAGTCCCACAAATCCAGATGTGACTCCTACCCATCCCCCTCTCCTGACATGGGAATGCCAGGCCAGATTGGAAATGACCTCTCTAGACCAGAAACTCCTTGTATATCCTGCTTCCAGCTAGGACAAGGGAGATGGTCTTACCTGGGCTTCAGTGCAGCAGCCTCTCCAGGAGGGTTAGCCTGGAGGCTCCCCTCTCCCATGTCGGCCTGTTTGTGAAGACACCATCCAGTTAACCTTCCTGAGAGGAGCAATTCACTGAGCATCTCGGACAGCTGCAGCTGTTTCCTGGATATTGTTTTTCCAGCTTGTCCCCCCTTCCCTCCCCCCACAACCCACCAGCAACCGTAATCCCCCCCAGGGACCCTGGCAGCGAACAGAAGCTGGGCAGGAAGAGTGGGAGGGAGAGGGGAGTGGGGGGATGGGAGAAAGATGATGGGTAAGCAGAGGGAGCCATAGATTGGGAGATGGGGCTGGGGGGGGAGCAGAAGGGAAAGAGCTGCTGGAGGGAAGGTGAACACACAGACAGCAGGCAGCTGCATGGGAGTATAACACAATTACAGATCTCCCTTTACATGGCCAGAGCCTCTCCACCCGCCAGGCGCACTTAATCACCACCTCCACATTTTAGTAGTAAACACTGCGAGCAGATGGTGGAATGCCAGTGGAGCCCCTGGGTGGATTGCTGCTGTGAGGCAGCAAGGGATGGCCTCAGGCCCATCCTAAATGCCAGCAATATAAGGTGTTACCTCAAGGAGATGTCCTTCCCCCCATAGCGCTCTTTACAAATAGATGCAGCCACCTCTGGGGCGGAGCAGAGTACCTTTTGTGAGCAATGATCCACTGGAAAACAAAACCCAGTGCAAGATGCTAAGGAAGACATTTGAAAACACATAGACAGG